CTGCAAAAGCATTAATCAGTCTATCGAATGACCTTTTCACAAAAATGTCCTTATATTTCTTCCTCCTACCAAGTCTGGGCCTCTTTGACAGGGAACTAGACTCCCCATCACCTTTCGGTTAATACTACGCCCTTTCTTCGTCAGTTGCCACCTGCTCATGTGGCAAGTTATCTAGTATGTCTGCAAACCCCAACTCACTAGGGTTGAATGCATGTTTTCTCGTCGCGACAACCCCTTTAAACATTATGTCAAGTTTATCTTCAAAGTCCGGCTCAATTTTGCACTGCTTATATTTTTTCATTGTCGGCATTGCTTGTAACATTGTCTTGAGAAGTGGGGTTTAGAGGGATTATTAGTTAAACCAAAAAATTATGAGAATAAACAAATTGAGAGTGTAAATATTACCTCTAATTTCTCAACCCACAATTCATCTAGAGCATCGATTGTCCGCTTAATGAGATCTCAACCCAACCCGCTAGATCCATGTTTCAGCTTCTTCCAAAATTTTCACTCCTTCAACTGATTCCATTTGTTTTTTTTAGTTTGAGTCTGTCACAATCCCTTCACGTCAATTCTTTGAACTTCCTCGCAATATTTTGCCAACCTTGTTTGTTAAAATAATATGTTGGCCTATTTCCGAGTTGTATTTCTGTAATACAGAGATTGCAAAAAATATTTATAACTTTCTTATCCCACATAGTTGACGGACCCCCTTCATTCATCTTAGACATGTTAAAATTATATGAAGAAATTATAGTTACACAGAGCAACTTAAAATATAAGTACAAAAAATAATTCTAAGTAAAAAAAAAAAAACAAAGAAAACTTTTCTAACAAAAAAATCGTCAAGAAAATACATCCCAAATTAGGAAGGACTAGGAATACATAACTATGATACATTTAAGTGGAGTCCATAATGCAAATCGTAATTAGAAGTTAAAATTTGATTGTTTTTCAAACAGAGATAAATCAAAAGAGAGTTGGGCTATACAAAATAATCTTTTTGTATTCTTTCAAATCATCATATTTTCATTTCATAGTGGCAAGATAAAATGTACAATCCATCTACAAGATGTACAATCCTTCTACCCAATTTCCTGTTAAAGTATAAGACAAACTCTTGGCAAAGAAAATGAACACAAGATTAGTAGAACCCATAGAGCAATTTTAGATGGCATTCCTCAATTTCTTGTTAAAGCAATATGATAATTTTCATGGCTAATACAGCATTAATTCCAATTTTTAAAGCATCAGAAGATGCTTCAAAAAATTTTGCATAGTTAAGAAGCTTATGATATAGGCAAATACTTTTGCAGGAGCAAGAGTCCATTTCAATTTCACTTGATATCTCACTTGCAAGATATCAACTAAAGAAGCAATAATATAATTAAAGCCTTTAATACTCTGTGACAAAAAACAATGTCCAGTTCATGAAAACTTTGAATAATAAGAAGTGGCTGATGTCTTATTCTCACCACCATCCAATTCATTGAGCCACAAGATCCAAAAAATATAAAAAAGAATGGGGGAAAGCATTTCTTAAAGTTAATATGTAACTTATCTACCCGAAGTGTCTCCAGAACAAGGTACAGATGATTGAGAAGGTTCACTTTAACAAATATCAAATAGCATAATCCTCATAAAAACCATTACAAAGATCAAATAGCACCACTATCCATTCATTCCAGGTATCGGGTATCATAAAATCTAGTGATGCTTATGATATTGCAATGGGTATTTATAGAAGCTTTAGTGGTCTACTGCAATGGGTATTAAGGTTTTGCTAAATAACAAGAATTAGTGGACAACTACAAGCTTCAGATGCTTCAAGTTAAGATGAAATTGATGTTGCAGTAATCTAAACTGGAACCATACCACTCCAATCTAAGTATCAATTTTCACTCTAATAGTGTATCAATTTTCACTCTTCAAAGCACTCCAATCTAAGTTCAATTTTAAATAAGAATAGTAATAAGGAGTTGTGCCTTGACATGTTGCAAGCCCTCAACCATAAAATTATATCCATGTAAGGTCTAATACTAATTTTCATTAGGGCTTTAAACTCACTAAAATTTTAGTAGTGAAATCACACCCTACTAAGTATTTGAAGCACTCACTGGTGAAATCACACCCTACTTAACATTGTCATATTTCACAGCATTCTGGCGTACTCAAGTTCAGGAAAGCCAGACAAAATCAACATAATTATTTTTTTTGTATATATCAAATGCCCCCGAATGCCCCCTCAACTACTCCAAAAACAATGCAAAAAGAAGTGCTTGCTCTACATGAAAAGTGTTTGCACATGAATTATAACATAACTCATATGGAAGCACATTCATGTACAGTATATCACTTTATATCTAAGTATTTATAACATACTTCTATAATATGATAAATCAGTATGTATTTTAAACATTCATATTCTTTCCCCCAAATTGTTGGGATAAGCATAGTGATGGTGATGATAATCAACGCTTCTGTTTTCAAGTAAGTGTAGAATATAAAAATTATAAAAACCTGAAAAATCTTAGCCGCAAATATTATAGAATTACACCAGTGATATTCCTATTAGTCTACGCCTTCAGGTATTCGACAATTTTCTTGGCACTAACTGCTATCCATATAGCTATTGCAATTGTCATGCAAGCATCAAATTCGTAGCCAGTACGCCATAGCAGAGAGCAAAATACAACACAAATAGATCTTAGCAAGAGCAAGTCCAACTCTACCCAGTACACAACATAATACAACACAAATAGATCTCGAAGAGCAAGTCCAACTCTACCCAATGCATTCTAAAATACAACACAAACAATTCTCACAACCAAAATAGTCGAAATAAACTCGCATAGCAGAGCAACACATCAGATCTCACTGGAGTAAACAGATCTGACAAGCGAGCCGATCTTCGCAAGGGTAAAGATCGGGGAGGGAGAGGGCAAGGGACAGTAGAGAAGGGCACGGGAGGAAATTTTGCCCTAAACGCGAGTCGCGGACGCAGGACTCAGGAGCTATCCCGCGTCGAAAGCATATTAGAATTTTATGACGTGTGTATCGGAGCGGCACCAAAACGTCAAGCGAACGATATTTTCAAACACAGCCGCGGTGTTTTCAAAATACTGCCGCACCACAATAAGCTACCCCAAACGGGCCTTTAGTGTATTGGGCTTATGCACCTTTGGTTGGGATAAAATGAGTGGAGGGATTTTTATTTAAATGCTTGTGCAGGCATTCTGAGTGTATTTGTGTGGAGATTCATAGTTTTTTTTTTCCTTCTTGGTATTTTTTCTTTTTTCTGCAATTATAGATTCTCGCGAGGGTTCTTATCCTTGATCAAAAGAAAAGCTTTCGATAAAGAAAATCAAAGGTGTTTTTTTTTACTCATAAGTTTGTTGTTAGTTTGGAGCTAAGCACTTTCATCATGCAAGAGATGCCAAACTAGTCTGTTTTTGATAAGCCTACCTTAAGGATTGCCAAGGAAAATGAAGCGCCTAACACTATTTGTGAAGGAGAAGCTTGTTGCTACACAATCAGTTTTGATTAGGTCTCTGGTTTCTCCTATGCGAGGAGTTGGAGGAGATTCTAAATTTCTACAGGCTGGTAGTTGCTCGGATCCACCCTAATTCTTTGTGTGCTATAATGGTCATGATTCTATTTCTCCGAGCCAAGGACCTGTTTTGGTCAATGAAGCTCTTCAAGATTGTCCTTGGGTCGAAGGTATTTGGTTGGCCATTAATTCGTGAATTCCTGGTTATTTACACGTGCACCGCAAAATTCTTTTTTATTTAAACAATTTAGAACTACAACCTTTTTTTTTTTTGCTTTAGTAGTTATTTGGCCTGTCATTAATTCGTGAATTACTGACCATTTACACACATACCACATAATTCTTATTTATTTACATAACTCAGATCTAAACATTAATATTTAATATTATTTATTATTTATTATTATTATTATTATTATTATTATTGTTGTTCATTCAAGTCATTAAACATATGTATATTAGAGTTGTTACTTATGTTCGAATAGAATGAGGATTGACCAAATATTTTCCTATTTCAGTTGGGTATATTGTCCTATTTCAGGTGCATAACATCAGGGACCGGCTTTAAGCCCATATCATTTTGCTTTAGTTATGAATGCTCTTATTGAGCATTTACAGAATGATGTACCATGATGTATGCTTTTCGCTGATCATATCCATCTTGTGGATAATACTAGAGAAAAAGCTAAGAAAAAGTTGAATTATGGAGATCAACATTGGAGTCTAAAGGCCTTCGTTTATGTAGGACTAAAACTGAAGACATGGAATGTAATTTTAGTAATAGCTCTAGTGACAGAAGTGTGACTTTGGGTGAGTAGTAGCTATGGGTGATTAAATAATTAAAAGGTGTGAACGCTTTAGATATCTCGGGTTGATTGTTCAAAGTGATGGTGATATAAATGATTATGTTATTAGTAGAAATGCTTCGGGCTTATTGTGTGATAGAAAAGTACTGCTTAAACTGAAAAAGAAAATTTTACAGGATGGTGGTGAAACCTGCAATGCTCTATGATGTTGAATGTTGACCTTTAAAAGAGAAACATAAAACTAAGTCAAGTGTTGTTGAAATGATAACGCTTAGCTGGATAAGTGGCTTTACACTTAAGAGACAATGTGAAATGAATATATCTGTGTTAGGGTTGGCATAGCTCTAGTGGCGGACAAAATTAGAAACTCATCTTAGATGATTTGGTCACATTAAACATCTACCACCTGATGATCTGATGAGGAGAGCAGATGTTTTAGATTCGAGTTATGTTAAGAAAGGCAATGGTGGACCTAGAAAGTCTTGGGTATATTGTATAGAAAATGATCTTAATATATTAGAACTAGATGAAAATATGACGCTCAATAAGACACAATAGAGAAATACTCAATAGGAGGCAGTGGAGAAAAAGACTCATATAGCTGACCCCACTTAGTGGGACAAATGCTTGTTTTTGTTGTTGTGGGAATACAAAATCATATAAAAATATCATTAATATTATATTCTGAGGTAATTGAAATTCTAAAATGTTATCTAGGTAAATATCGAAAATGGAGTTGCATATATTAATACACGAGACTTGTACGGTAGGTATGCAAATCCCATTTTTTCATCTGGCGCACGACTGAGATAATGAATTTTGTTATGACTAAAATACATGCAGAACAAATTACTATATGTGGGCCTAACTATCTGCAAAAAATAGCAAGCATTCAAAGTTTTTGATGTGTGCAATAGGGTCATCACAAAGCACTAAATCATTACACAAAAGGAATGTAGACATTGTGAGATGAACTGAATCATCATTCTGTTACAGTAGTATAAAACAAGTTATAAGCCTCAATTACTTCCATATGCCATAGAGATTCGCGGTCAGGATACAGCGAGAGATCAACCATCTTGTGGACCTGCATTTAAATTAAGATTTTTATTTTTTATTTTTATTTTTTTTAATGAGACAAAAAAGGGGCATTTACATACATACCACCCAATTCTTTTGTATTACGTATCAAATACCTAAACTTTATTTTTTTTTTTAACATTTATACCACCCAAGTGTTTTATATCACATCAAAAATATCATTATTTTAACTTTTTTAGAACAAAATACACTTTTTATGAATAGGCAAGTTAGCATGCATGTAAAACCTGAAGTTTAGGTGTTAGAAATGTAAATACATAAGAATTGCGTGGTATTACTGGAAAACGGAGCATTTACTTGCCACCGAATTCTTGTGATTTACATGTCTAACACCTAAACTTCAATTATAACATTTATACCATCCAAAACTTTCATATCGCATAAAAAATACCACAATTTTAACTTTTGAAAAGTGAGACATTTTCATTAATAGGGAAGGTGGCATTGCATGTAAAAATTGGAATTTAGGTGTTCGATACGTAAATATAAAAAAATTGAGTTGTATGCATGTAAATCTTCCAAAAAAAGTAATTTAATTTACGGGAGTGATTTTAATTCACCTGAAAAAATTACAACAACAACACCAATGTGCCTTTTATCATACCAAGTGTAGTTGGATACATGGATCCTTTTCTCCACTGTGCCCTATTGAGTGTCATACTTTCAGTTAATTCTAATAAATTAAGATTGTTTTTATACAACATGCCCAAGTCATTTTAGATCTACGTCTACCTTTCTTATCATAAATCAAATCTAGAACATCTACACTCCTATCAAGGCCATTAGATGTTTGATGTTCAATGCGACCAAACAATCTAAGGCGACTCTCTCTAATCTCCACAACTGAGCTACTCCAACCCTTTCATGGATATATTCATTTTGCATTTTTGTCTCTTAGAAGCACTCATCCCTTTTTGGCCCCCATAAAGAAATATTCTTTCTGTTAAATCCAACTGAGCTACTCCACCCTTTTATGGATTTAGTAAATCTGTAAATTGTAAATCTGTTAAATCCACCATACCTATATATATATATATATGTATTTAAATCTTTTTGTGCTATATGTCTTCAAGCAAGTTATGTCTTAACGACAACTTCCAAAAGTAAGTCTTCCTGTACTAGAATGAGGCTTGAACTTTCACTGTATGATTTTTATCATTGTTCTTTCTATTGGCATGTTTAGTGATTGGTGTGTATGCATGACAGAAGTTTATCAGGTCTATTGCATGTTGAAGCCCTTGTTATGATGTGAATGTTGATTGTGCTGAATTTTATTTTTGCTCTAAATTTTTTAATGAAATTCAAATATTAACAATTACATTGTTATTATTTGGAATAAAATAATTGAGTTCGTTTAAATATGGCAAATCTTTGCTAAACTAGAAAATTGAAAATATAAGAGTATTTATTGGTCTGTGTAATTTTTGTACATATCATGCTAAAGATGGTGGTGAGATCTACAATGCTTTAAGGTGCAGAATGTTGGCCTAAAAAGAAGAAGCATAAAACTAAGATAGATGTTACTAAGAAGAGAATGCTTAGGTGGATGAGTGGCTTGACTCTAATGTTGCTAAGAAGAGAATGCTTAGGTGGATATATCCGTGAAAGGGTTCGTGTAGCTTCAGTGCCACACAAGATTAGATAGAGTCGTGTTAGATGGTTTAAAAACTAATATATCCGTGAAAGGGTTCGTGTAGCTCCAGTGGCACACAAGATTAGATAGAGTCGTGTTAGATGGTTTAGTCACGTTAAACATCGAACAGCTGATGATTCGATTAGGAAATTAGATGTTTTAGACTCAACTTATCTTAAGAAAGGTAGAGGTCGACCTAAAAAGACTTAGGCATGTTCTATAAGAAATGCTTTAATTTATTAGAATTAAATGCAAATATGATACTCAATAAAGCAAAATGGAGAAAAAGGATTCATGTAGCTGGCCCCACTTAGTGGGATAAGGCATGTTATTGTTTTTGTTCTTGTATTATACTAAATATGCAATAATGAACCTTATATCCTAAGGTGTCCTATGTTACTATCCCCCATTGGGAAGCCTTCCCTAGATGCATGTTTGAAGATTGGTATCTATATAGAGTATTAAGAGATTACCCAACTAGAACAAATACGATTACCTAAAGCTATAAAGTGTTGAACTCATCTCATAACCTAAAAGAATAATTTTAGTTGCAAAGTCTCCAACCAAGACCACAAATTCCTAAGGACATTATTACTCAGCCTCAATGGATAATATATAGTTACAAAAAGTACGACTTGAGGGAAACCCTGATAGAATGTGCTTGCCAATTACCTTAGAGTGGTGGCAGCTATCGAAGTTCCATTCAAAGTTAATCCTAATAGGGTTAGCTCTTTAGTCATTCAACTTGAATTGCGGGGACGAACTCGGAGCACCCCAAAACTCATAAACAAGTTCACCCAACCATGGCTCATAGTCAAACAAACATGCCCTTCACCACCTACAGCATCATAGAAAGAATCTAGAAGAGTGTTGACTCTCATCAATCAATAGCGTCGGAAAGAATTAAGCAGTTATGACCCTAGTTACCATGATATAATTTTCCTAAATTAAACTACCACCAACATGAGCAACAAACTTTAATAAATAACTTATCATCCAAAAAAAGCAAGAAAGAGAAACATCTAGATAGTCATTATTTGTAGACAATACTAGATAAGAAATATACCAAAACAATAACTTATAGTCATTAAGAAATGAAGGATACATTGATATTAGCTCTTCTCTAATTAAATTGGATAGTCTCCCCAATATTATGATGATTATATATCCCAATTGTAGGCATTGTCAGACAATTAAAGCATTTCAAGTGTGTCGTTCTATCATCCCAAATAAATAACATAAAAAAATTATATATCAAATTATACAAGTAGCTTAGATCTATGTGTCCTAATGCCTCCTTTGTACCCTCTTCAACTAGCTCAGCTCAGAGGAAAAACTTTGTTAAGATTACCAGCCATGGAAAATGAGGACTTCAAAGGCTCAATTGCAATTATATGTGTCAAAGAGATAAAAACCACCATTTTCAAGCTAAAATAGACAGACTAGACATGGAAGGATATAAGAGTTTAACAACCCTCAAGATTGTGAGAAAGTTGCATCCTTCAATCTAGGACTATGACAAAAAAAAATTGCTATTGAAAATAAAATCCAACGAAGACACTGTGCAAGCATGCTGTTTTTGGGCACATCATCATCATTTGCCTTAACCCAACTTATTAGGATCGGCTTTATGAATCCTTTTTTTTTTTCATTGATTTCTACTAAGCTTTACGCACAGCGTTAAAACCAATTTTTTTGCAAAGTAATTCAAATTTTTGCTTTCATATTACATCTAGCACTGTCTCATTCTTTTTGTTTATACTTCCACAATAATTTAACCTATGCTCAAATGACTCCATTTTCGATCCTTCAATTTATAGGTCCAAAAAAACTATATATTTAAATTTTTTTATTTATCCTTCATAATTTTGTAATACATCCATTTTAAAATTCTCACTACAACCCCATTTTAGTTGTTTTCAGGCATGGCATACAGAAACTTTGCTCAAGAAATATACCTGAATCTGAGGAGGATCACCAGCTATGCAGAGCCCGACAACCATGATATACATCCCTGATTAGAGTGAAAAGCTATTATAAGTATCTAAACAACTCAACTGAAAAAAAAAAGGGGATTGAGAGCAAAGGCGTTCGAGTCTATTATAATTATCTGAACCACCCAACTGAAAAAAAAAAAAGGGGATTGAGAGCAAAGGCGTTCGAGGGGGGGTGGGGTTACCAGACTTCCACTCCTGAGTCTTTAACTCGGAGCGTAGGGACAGCTCGACGACTCCACTACCGTCGTCGATAAGAAAAGGCCCTTCGTCCGGCCCTGCAACCACAACGCCCTGGCGACGAAATCTAGGGTTTATGGAGGCGATGTGTACGAAAATTAGAAGAGGGTTTTAGGGGATACCTGACACCAAGCTCGCTGGAAGCGGATGCCATTGAGGGTCAGCGATGGAGGATGGGAAGAAATCTGGCGTGCATCCTTTAGCTGACAGCAGAAGAGCTTCAGCGCCGCCAGGCTGTAGTCCATCTGCCGCGATGAAGCCTCGCGGCCGAGGGTGGCAACCCTGTCACGGTAATAGCCAATAGGCCCTGCACAACTTGGGCGGGATTGGTGTAAATGAGAGGAAAATTTTATATCAGCATATCTAACGCTAAAAATATCTTTAATTTCAATGCCTTTTAGTTAGTACCTGACTAAAATATGTTCTACTAAAAATCCTAATAAAAAAAATTTAACCAAAACATTCCATAAAAAATTGGTTGTTTTCCTCAAAAAAAAATATTGATCGAAAATAAAAAGAAGATTTTCAAGAGTTTGAACACTCTCTCTACCCTAAAACAAAAAAAAAACAAAAAAATGTTATTTTTATTTATATATAAATTATTATTTTTTATATTTAATCAAAAATAAATAAATAATAACACAAAATTTATGATATTAATCAAATGTAAAAAAATATAGCTAATTGAATTTCCAAATACATTATTTATACTCTCACATGTTCCCCATGAGTCTCCTTGGCTTCATGCTTGCCACCCAACCTTAACCACAAGCTTTCTTAACCACAACAATAGGCTCCTTTCAGGTTAGGTCCCCTTGAGATCGTCAGTCTTTATTGTTGTAGTCATAAACCCTCTTAATAATTGCTAACTCTCATTATCACAACTCTACACCCCTTCAATGTTTCTAACATTTGCTCATTATTGTCACATCCCGAGCATCCATTGTGATCATTCTCTCTCATAAATGCCAAACATTGGTCAGCTCACTTTACAATCATACTTATTAAGCTCTAATCTTGAGATTCATGTTTTTGTATTTGTTTTTTTTCCTATTTTTCTTTTGCATTTACCTTCTCAAGAAAAAAATGATTTTTTAATGAATTATTATTATATAAAAAATGTAATATTTAATCTGAATTTAACATTGAATACTTATAATTTTTTTATTTGTTTTATAATCATACATTGTTTGTCTTTCATAATTAGATTTTTTTATGAATGGAACTGAGGCTTATACATTAATATTCAATATAGAAAAAAGTATGGGATATAATTACCATGACATTTCAATGATGCATTAAACTCTATAATTTATATTAATCTAATTGTAAGAAAATAATTCCTTTGTATCCACTTAACATTTTAAAATAATTATATCAAAATTCTTCCAATAAAACAACCCAAGAGCTTGCACTTTATTTAATTAGAATCACAATAAAAAAAATGAGTGATTGTCATGGATAAAAAAAGAGAAATTTGAAGAATATGCAAGGAATTTGAATTTGGGTATTCACATACACACCACATAATTCTTGTAAATTTATATATATGTGTTGACTTCTCTTATGGTTGAGGTTTAGCTTCTCCGCTTTAGTAGCCTAAGGTCTAGCCATAGGACTGTCCTATTAACTATTCTTAGAAAACTAGACAAGGAATCCTCACCATTAGAAATTCTGCCCTCTTCT